GCGGGGTGCTGCGGGTGGGGAAGGCCCGGCGGGTGGGGGGGTGGCTGGGGAGGGGCCGAGGACAGGTGGGCCTGGGGAGGGGGCTTCCCTCTCTTACTCCCAAATAAGGAGCCCAGGAGGGAGGATGAGTTGGGCATGGTCTGCTGTGGGCGAGGTGGACACTCTCGGGTTGATGTGGCTCTCCGGCGCATGTGAGGACTGCTAATGATGGACCCCTAAAAAGGAAATTCATAGAAACCAAAATTAAAAGAGCTTAAAGCACTTATGTCAGAATGATTTTTTTTAAATGTAAATAAAAAGTTCACCCACTGACTAAGCTTTAGTTCAACTTACTGGCCGCAGAGGCCGGGGCTGGGTGAGGCTGGCCTCAGGTGCCACCTCCTCAAGCTACCCTGCAGGTCAGCTGGGGGGGCCCTGAGGGGAACCTTTGGGGGGAGCGGGGGTACCCCCTTTGCAGTCGGCAGCAGCAGCAGTTCAAGGTCGACTCCTGCTCTCAGCCTGACAAGCACCCTGTGGTGGAAGGCAGCCTGAGCTTTCAGACCAGAAGCGTCTGTTTGGGGGTGCCTGTGAGCAGCGGTGTGTGCTGAGTGGGGTGGAGTGGGCCGTGTGCAGGGGAGGGAGCCCGTTCCTGCTGAAATTGTCCCTATGCTCTCCTGGGTCCTCTCAGCGGATCGGCGGGCGTATGCTCTGCCTGTGTGGGTCCCGAGGTTTCTGGGGAGCAGTGAGAGGGACAGGAGGGCCTGGGGAAGCCCTGTCCTGGGCGGGGCGTGGGGTGGGGGCCTGCCTAGGCATTTCGCTGCAGCCACCTACTGCAGACCAAACACGGAGAAAGGAGAAAACAAAAAGACCTGCAAGCTGAGATTAAGATGTGAACAGGAATAGAGAGATGGCTGGAGGATGAATGAAATCTCATGAAATCCACACTGAATGCCTCTTTCACGGCTCTCCTCCCCCAGCTAGCTGAGCAACTCCCTGGCGCCCTGGCTGCAGACGCACAGCAATCGAAACTCCAGGAAGGAAGCGATGGGGATGGCGGAGCATGGAAGTCCAGAGATGGGCAAGACCCCGACAGCGAGGGTGGGGGTGGAGGGTGCCCAGCGGGCCGCCTCCCACCAGGAGCAGGGCCGCGGGCGGGGGGCGGGAAAGGTGCCGGGAAGCCGGGGAGGTTAACCATGCTCGGGACCACGGGGACGGGGTTAAGC